TACATGGGATGAGAAAAGTCGTAATTGTTGTAATTCCTTATAACAAATAATCGACAAACGATTGAAAAAAATATAATAAAAGTGTTTTTAATCTAGATCTAGTAGCTGCAATCGAATCTATGAGATAGGTAGAAAAAATTTTTCAAAGTAATAGAGATGGAAAAAAATAAGTTTTTGAAATGGATAAAGAGAAATAAATATTTTTTTTAATAATATAAAATTTTACAAATACAAGTAAGAAAATAATATTTCAAATACATATTTTAATATTAACTTATACATTTTATTTTATTATACATTTTATTATACATAATATATACATGTTTTCATAATTAAATAAAATAGTATTTTCAAATAGATGTGGTTATGGAAATGTCTTAATTTTTAATATTTTTCCTCAAGCTATTTCAAATTTTCTTTAGTTTTATCAAATAATCAAGAGATAATCGGATTAAATTTATTTCTCACATATTTGGAAAGTTATGAAATATCTCTATATAAAATTTGGATTAAAACTATTAACCGGTTCGTTGGATATTAAAGTATAACAGAATGTCGAAATTACTTAATTGAAGGATAAATTTGTTCGAATAAATGATTTTTCGGACAATTAATCTGAAAGAACCGAATTTGTGCATATATGCACATGAATCAACTACAAATTAAACAATTTTTAAATATAGTAAATGTTATAAAATTATTGTTATCATCTAATTTATATTCAATTCAATATTTTTTTTAATTAATAAATTTAATTTATTATTATTTAATTTACTATTTACTATTATGTTTAATTTTTATTTTAAATTCTAATAGTCTTAATCTATTATTTTTAATATTATTGTTAAATTGAATATAAACTTTTCAATATTATATTTTATCATTAAATTATGTACAGTATTATGTAAAACATTTTTAAATGTTCAATAATATTTAATTTATTTTCTACTTCTACTACTATCATTTTTTTCTTTTATAATATATACTATAAATATTTATACATAAGCACTCATATACATAAAATTCAATCGAAATATTATATTCGAAGCATGTAAAGTGCATATCCTGAAATTTAAATATTTTTAGACATCCAGTTTCAGAATAGAAAATATTTAATAAATATATTTTATTCTGGTTGTTATCCAAATATAACGTTTTTACTTTTTTATAAAATAATAAAATTACAAAACAAATTTATTTATTTTTATTTAGATGTCTTCATTTTTATATAAAAATATTAATAATATTTATATTTTATTTTTAAAGATAGTTGCCTGCAACTATAAAATTTATCGGTAAGATAATAAAATTAAGGTAGAATAATCTACTTTAGTTTAAATATCTTTATTCTCGTATAAAAATACCAATAAATTTTAAGCTAAACACAATTTATTATCAAAAAATATCAATTTACTGGTATTCTCATATAAGAATAAAGATCTAAATAAAAGTAAGTAATTGTTTTAATTTTATCATCTAATAAATAAAATTTTAAGTACTTATCCATGTTATAAATATTTACTTAGATAGCAATATGAATATTTAAATACTTAATCGATCGAATATTCACAGCTTTAATTTAATTTTAAAATCCCAAGCAAGATATTTTATTTGACTTTTTCGCAAATTGATTTTTCATTTTTGCAGATAACATTCCTTTTTTATATTAAATTACACTAAAAATATTTAATAAAATCGATCGTTATTATTCATAATATAATTTTGAATATTTTGAATATTCTTAAAATATTAAACTGTAAAAAATAAATGAAATAATCTAATAATCGCTTTAAATAGAATTTAAAGAATCATCGTAGTACATCGAAGTTTGGAATTTTAAAACTTAATCAAATATCAAGAACCGAGAAATAAATTAAAAAATAAACGAAAAATTTATTTTTTTCTGTTTATAAATCTATTTTGTCTTTGAAAAGAAGTGTTTAATTCGAAAGATTTCGATCATAAATATTATCCAATAAAAGGAATTTTACTACCTCGGTCTATCAACCACGTTTCCTCTATCCGTAAACTTTCAACGATGCCCGCTATTTGAGAACGATCCCTCGATACGAATTAAGCAGACCGTTGAAATTACTCCATCTGACAAGACGTGAAATACAGTTGGTGAACGTTTCCTCGATATCGATACGTCCGCCAACCGAAATTTCCAGGCCGACATTGCGCAATTGAACAGTGTCGCCATCCGCAAATCTACAACAACGCATCACCTTCACCTATAAATCACAATCTAATCGACATTTTAACCGCAACTACGTTTCACGAGCATGCAATGTGTAACGTTTCGTTGAATAATTCCGCCTATGCTCGCGAATGTTTCGGACACTTCACCTGTGGAACAGGGATTATCGAAGAGTATGTGTCACGTTGCCACCATGATAAACGGATAAATAGGTTTCAGATTTGCATCGTAGTTGATTGGAAACAGGGACGAATAATCAGAGTTAATTTTTCTTTCTTTTCCCTGGTTTGAAGTAGATTTCCTCGTATCTTGAAATTAAATAAGGCAAATAAATGAAGGAGAAATTGGGATCAGATATTAGATTATTTATTAAATTTTGAGAGAGAAAATTAAATTTTATTTCTATGCAGGATGCTTGTTTTGTCTACAGGAAAATATCTTTGAAAGAAATATATTATGCAGTATTGATATTTTTTTATAAATTAATATATATAGATCATAATGAAGATTAGATTTAATTTTTCTTTAATCGATACAGTTTGTTATTTCTTATAAAAAAAAAAGTCGAAAAATCTTTAGTTTAAAAGATATTTTAATTTGAAGTTTATAAAAACAAGGAGAGCATGAGAATGAGAATAAAGTCTTTCTCATATGAAAAGTTTTATTTTAAACTTAGAATATCTTCTAAATTAATAATTTTGATAAATATCTTATTATTTTTTTGAGAAAAATAAAAAGTTACATCAATTGGTATATTACAAATTATATAATTCCATTAAAAAAATTAAATTTATCTTCATGATCTTTATAGATTTATAGATATATTTGATTTTTGCATATATAAAAAAATTATTAATACTGAAAACTATTAATTCATCTCCTTATAACAAAGAATATTTTACAAGAATTATATAATATTTAAATAAAATAGATATCCTGTATATACATATAATTGTTTGAAATTTAAGTGATAAAAAGTAAATACAAAAAAATGTTTCTTATGCTGTTCTTTGTGCTCCAATTGATTTACTACCTTGCAGGAAAATATGTCAAAGAATTGTACAGGATAAACCAGAGTTTAAACATATTGAATGTTATATATATTATTATATATATAGAAAAAGATAAAGAAAATGTTTGCATGAATATAACAAATGGAATAAATCATTTAATAACGTGATGTTTTAGTGATTATTTAGTTTTTGAATAATTTAAAGATATTTTTTTATTTTTCTCCTACATTTTACATTCGTTTACATTAAGATTACATAAAGAATTTATTTTTTTGTCTTCATAATTTTTTTTCTGTATGAATTATTAGAAAATAGAAAAAATATATTTGTTACATTTATTAAAAATAATAAATTTTCAATAATAAATATTTATCTATTCTTAATTTTCATACTATATTTAATATTTTTAGCATTCATAATTTTTTTTAATATAATACAATAATCTCTATTTTATTAGCTTCTGATGAATGATTTCTGATTTATTAGCTCTATTTCTTAATATTTTTTATAACAAAAATAAATAAATGTTAAATAGTAAATATTTACTGAAATATAATAATTTATATAGATAAATGATTTAAATTTTATCTTAAAAATAATAATGTAATTATTTTATGTTTCTTTCTTAATTTTTAAAAAATTGTATTATATTAATGATTGTATCTTAATCAAAGGAGAGATATGATAACTGCATTTTCTTTGATATTTTTCATACTGCTATTTCATTTGAAATACGAATATTATTTCCATGAGAAATGTTTATTGAAGATCTCTACATAGAAAACTCAATATAATATAAAGAATTGATATAGATACATATATTACATATGTATATCGTATATTCAATTTTAGTACTGTCAAAATGTATGATAAATCTTGCTTTGATGTTTTATTTAATAGAAAAATCTTTTTTTTATTCGTCAACTTTATGGATTCAATTTTAAGCAAAAATATTAGAAAGCAGAGAATATAACAGTTGACAATCTCTGCATCCAATTTTTTCTATGTTTGTAATATGAGATACAAGAATGTTCCAAAATAAAAGAGTTGAAGCCACACAGTTGATTGTAGCGTTTTCATTTCATATAACTGCTAAGCTCGTTTACATCGTGCATTCAAATATTCCTTCCATTCCTGGCCTGACTCTACAGTTCCGTTCCTGGTCGCTCTGCGACCCACAACCTCTCCGCGTTCGAAAATTACGTTGAAATACAATGCATTCCTACGAGTTGTATGCTCTTAGATATCTCGAGTTTGCGAACAATTTTCAAATACCGCACGGTCATGTTTGCGAAAATACTTTGACAAATTTTCCATACTATATGATGCATAAAAATTGAAATGTTGCTTTTAAATTTAAATTTTTTTTTTTTTGTTAAAATTAATTAATGTATAGAATATGAAAAATTAAATTTTTCTACATGAAGATTGAAATTTTTTGTCTGATGATATACATAAATTAATTAAAAAAATAAAATATATAAAATAAAAAATATATAAAAATAAAAAAAAATGAAATATTATTTTAAGATGTATCTCTTATTTGTAATTATTAAAAGAAATTTTTATTAGATACATTATAATTAAAATTGGTAAGTATAGTTTAAAAAATATATAAATTTTATATTTTATTGATTTCTTCAAATGTAAATAAGTAAAGAAATTGAATCTTCTACTATTTTATTATTTCTTATTACTTTTTATATTTTACTTTATCGATATGTATATTTCGTTTCAATTTTAGCCAATAGATGTCGCTGGTATCTCGTTAAAGTAAATGGTAGAATAAAAGTAGGATAAAATATCGTGAATAAAAGTACATTGATAAATTTTAATACTAAATATTTGTTATTGTGCAAATATTTCAATTTTAACAACAAATTCTAATTAATAATTATAATTTTATATTATATTAATAGTAATAATTGTCGTTGTGCGATCATTGTGACAACAAACCGTATTTACTTAACATAACCTAATATATATACATTAAATTATTAAATTTATAAAAAATGACAAGTCGTTTAAATGTTTTGCTAACATTTGTACGTGGTCATCGAACTTTTCCAAAAGCATGGAATAAAGATGTTGTCAAATATGGTTTAGTAAAATATCTTCCACGGTAACAAAAAAAGATTCTTTTTAATTTGTATTTATAAATTTTTTATTATAAAGAAATTTTTATTTCAGTAAAAAGGATCATGTAGATCCTCCATTTACACCATCAAAAATTTTAATGGTTCATAGAGTAAAACCTTTTAAAGGCAATCCTTATTGGGAAAAAAACACACTCAAAGTTTTAGGATTCAATGAAAATGAAAAAGTAATATTAAATTAATCTTTAAAGCTTTTACTTATTATTATTATCATATTCTATATAAAAATTATTTTTTGCAGAAAAGATATCCAATATTTGTAAAGAATACACCTGAAATGTGTAATTTGCTTTGGTCAGTAAAACATTTAATAAAAATTGTTCCAGTAAAATTACCAAAGAATCTACCAAATACTATCGATGATTTTAGAGAATATTACATACATGATAATGGGACGATTCATTTTGGTGGAAAAATTAATCCTGAACGTTATCAGGCTACAATGGATCATCAAAATTCTGTAAAAGTATTAAAATCTGCTACTATTAAAGAAAAACTTAAACTTTTGTGGTTAAATGGAAGTCTTATAATGTAAAAAATATTAGAAATATATTATAAATATATATGAAATATTATTTGCATTTATTATGTAATCATATCAATAGGAAATAATTAAATAGTCATTGAACAAATAATATACTTTATTTTGTATATTGATTACAGCCAGTTGGCCATGTTACAACCTACCAACAGTAATGTTAAAATTTCAATTTTTTTTTCTTTTTTTTTTACAATTTCTCTCTGTTTCGTATGTTCGAATAAGATCTATGGTGGAAGATGAGTGCCGCTTTGCGTCAGTCATGCGGACCTATTGAAATATAGTGTTCCAAAAATGAAACAAACCTCATCTAAATTGTAATGAGTGAGACTAGATTGACGAGCAGTCTTACGCTGTAAACGAAATATCGTATCTCAAAAACATTCCACTAGACCGTTTTAAATTTCTCGGAAAAAAAACCTTTCGATTAAAAATCTTCAAGCACGCTACAATACAGAATGCGATAATTACATTCTGGAATTTTTTAATCGACTAACCATTTCTGACGAAAGTACTTCCGCATTTTTAAAATCGTTTACAAGACGAAGAAATAGTCTAAACTCGAAATTGTAAACCTAACTTTTTTTTTTTTATCGTTATGCTAGATCCTATGAAAACAAGTCTGAACTTGTACGTGCTTAAATAGAATTCAAAAAACTTTGATAATTCGAATACTGGAAATTCTAATAACAAAGAAATCGGTCCTGTTTTTCTATTGTTTCTTCTTTCTGTTTTGACTGTTCTCCGAGAATCTAACCTCTCTCTCGTATTTAAGAAGAATTTGTTCGTCTTCGACTTCGAAGCTTCCAAAATCGTCTATCTCTGGATGTATGATGAATAGAAATAGTGTTTTGTGCTTTGGATCCTTTCTCGGGCATGTACATCCTTAGTAATCTCGCGGCACGTTCTTCCTGCGATCTGTCCGCAGCTTTTCCGCTCAGAAAGCTAAGCAGCTTCATACTGCGTCGTTTTATTCTCAATCTATTTAAAAAATTTTTCTCTGTCGTTCTTGAGGGACTATTGTCATTCTGATCATCCGAATCCTCCTCAAGTTTATTCGATTTTCTACGAAAGAATTCCATACGTTTTCTTCGCTCGTGTTGTGTATCATTTCTTCTGTACCGACGATTCCTTGTGTCTCCGAGTTCTGTCGATAAATATCCTTCTCTCTTCGCTTGTTCAGCATCTCTATTTTCTCTAGTCTCTTCTGCTCTTCGCGCGACCGATTCGAGCTCTTTTAAACGTTCCGCCTCCTTCGAGATTTTCAAACTATCCGATGTCTCGTTCGTACAAGTATCCTCAACGTCCGACAATTTTCTGTGAAGATTGACTATCTTTCTGCGAAATTCTTCATCCTCCTGGCTCAATCTGGCGAAGATTCGATCCCTTTCATTCCCATCGGAACTCGAGCCGACGTTTTTGGACGTCGCCGATTGAAACCGCTGTCACCACCATCCGACTTGATCCTTTGCACTTCCAGACGTATCCTCTTCTTCTGGAAGAGGTTCTAATCTCTGTCTGCCAAGGAAACACCTCAACGAGTTGAGACTTCCACTGCCGAGCAACTGATCCATATTCAGCTCGGATAGATTGCAGTCCTCGCTTTCGGATTCTTGATCGGCGTCATCGTCCACAGATAGGTTAAGACCGTAGTTATCTTCGCCAAAAGTAACCACGTTGCCTGCACCAACTGGCGGCGGCTAGGGAAGTCAGGCACAGTTCGGGCTAGTGATTCTTTGCAAACAAAGGGCAAGCATTATCATGCAGATGCGTGCGAAGCTTATCAACTAGATTATCTGTTATGCAAATTATATTATTTATTATATTTTATTTATTTTTCTTTTATATATATATATATATACAAATTTGTTAAATAAAAATTTCGAAGCAAGATTTAAAGAAAATGTAAAACAAATTTGTCCACAAGTCATTTGACAATAAAACTTTTCGAAATATGGATAAATGAATATTAGAATTGTAATATGATATTGAAACTAATTAATCATTTATATTAAAGAAATATTGTTTTAATAATTAAATATAAATAAAATAATTTAGATATTGTTATCGAGAATTATAAAAAATAGATAATACATTATATATATAACAATTTTAATTGTATATAAATTGTAAAAAAAATTTTTTAATTTGAAGAAAAATATAGTTTATCATAATGTTAAATATTTTTATTTTTTCAAGTTTTATAAGATTATAAGATTTACAATTAGAAGAGGAAATCTTTAAAGAGATACAAATATATATTAAGAAAATACTTAGATATTTATTGCAATATTAAACAATTTATAATATTAATTATTAATAGATTAATAAACAGATATCTGGTGACTTATGAATAGAAATATAAAGATATATAGATTTTCTTTGTGTTAGATAGATGTGTTAGATAGATAGATATATAGTGTTTTCTTTTAGTTTTCTTTTAGTTATTATTGATTGTACTATATAAAATTGCCATTTTTGTAAATTATGAAAACATTTTTACAATATTTTTAAAATAAAAATATATATCTTTATAACAAAATATTAAATATTATAATTAACATTAATAAATTAGAAGCAATAGAATAAATTCAAAATTTTTAGAAATTTATGAAAAATATAATATTTTTTTAGAATAGAATGATAAAGGAAACGTACATTATAATTCAAATATAAAAGATAAAAATATGAAAAATTATATAATGAAATGAAAAAATAACATAAAATGAAAATATCATTTTGTTTCAAAATAATTAAAAATAATTTTAAATTATTATTATATGAAATTATATTATATATATTATATTATATATATTATATTATATGAAATTATTTTCAATTCCTATTCAAACATCACTTATTCAAAAATAATTAAAGAACATTTCAATAAATGAAAAAAATAGATTTTAAAGAGAAAATATATTTTTAAAAATAAATATCATTTAAAATTTATTTAATATCAGTTTACTATCATTCATTTAGAAACTGACAATTTCATTCATGGTACACTCATATTTTCATTGGTTTGCAATACACAAGCAAGTTTTTATAAAAGCTATGAGATCAACCAAACAAGCGAAGCTATCGAGAAAAAAAGGATATTGCACGCATAAGCGATTTTCAATCAGATTTCGAAATTTCTAGTTGTCAAATTGATTCAAAGCTATGTCTTAAAATATTATAGTATTAAAATCGTAAAATATTATTACCGAACTTGCGGTGAAACTTTCGTCATCGGGACCACCAGATGTCGGTGTTCCCCAGATATCATCTCCTGAGGTAGCTCCAGACGTTGTTCCTTCTTCATCATTTGGATCTAGAGAGAATTCTGTTCTTTCTGGAGGAACTGGTGATTGAAGAAGATATCCACCTATGCCTTCGCCAAGTTGTTCGAGCAAAGCTGATCGTTTACTGACTACATAACTGCTCGCTCTAGCCGTCCATGCTCTTAAACCCGTAGGCGGTGATTCGGTGTCTCGATTATCGTCATCTCCTTGCTCCTCAAGTTCGTCGTCCTGATCCAGACTGCTCACTGTACCGAATCTTCGTAAAACTCTGGAAGATAATAGAACATAATCGAAGAATTCACAAAAGAAAACATTTTAATATTTAATCTTTATTTAAATTAGTCAAGTTAAATATAATTAAATATTAATCTAAAATAGATATGAATTAGAAGTGAAGTAAAAAAAATTTCAAAATGTGTAAGAATTTATAAGAAATACGATGTTTTGTGGATTAGTAAAAGAAACTTATGTTTGCAATTTAATTATAAAAGATAAAGTGATATGAAATAATCAAAATGACACATCAAATAAAAATATAATTTAACAATACATTAAAATTTTTTCTTATTATAATATGTCTTTCAAACAACAAATTATTCTCTACACAATTTTACGTATCCATTATTTCAACTTAAATTGTAAATATTTATAAATTGAACTCAAATAATATTTGATTAGTTTAACGAATCGAAATTACTTTCAAATCGAACTTATTTTATATATTAATATATTAATATTTTATATATTATATATTAATACCAATCTAAATAAGACTTTACAATGTTTTCTTTAAAAACTCTTCGATTATCATTAAATAATTTCTTAAATATTTAATGATATTAATACAATATTTTTATATTGCATTAAACTTTACCTGTACGGTGGTTCACCATCACAATCAAGATCGTCTTCGCTTCCATCTTCTGTATTACCATCAGCTAAAGTATGACTTGGACTGTTTCTTCCAGGACTATCGAGCAGACCATTTCTTAATCTATGCCTGCATAAATCAGGTGTTGGTGGGACTACTGAGATCTTTGGAGGTAATGGGGAAAATGGATCTCTCGTTAAAGGCGGTGTTGGACAACCTGATCTGCAATTATACACGTTTAATCTATTATTAACTTAAAATATTTTATTTATTAGATTAGTGAGAAAGTAATGTCAGTTTTATAAGTGCAAAATTAATTTATGAAATTTGATAAATGACATGTACGTTTAATCACGACAGCATTTATACAGCATTTATAATTGCATTTATACTTTATATTTTAAGAAATTGAAAATAAATATTTTATGATAATCATCTCCAATTTTGAAAAAATTCAAAGTTTTTAATATGGAGATCCGAATTCAAATACAATTCAAACCCTAAAATTCATGAAAGATTTAAAATTTTCATTATTTTATTCTTATTATCTACTTCTCATTCTTATTAACGTTATTTGATTTCTCTATTGAATATCTTTATGTTAATCTTAATGTATCAGGAGTAAATCTTTCAAAACTTTCAAAAATTTTTAGACCACATCAAATCCAAAGTGATTCGAATTTTTAAAATTTTTAAAATTCGAAATTAATTATTTCAACTGTTTAATCAAGAATAAAATATTTTATAAAATACCCTTTATAAAATATTTTATAAAATACCCTTATAAAATGAATTTATCACAAAAACTAATAATATATCGTTCATTTAACATTAATTGTCTCATCAAAATCAAAAAACTGACATAACCTTTATCCTAATCCAACACCAATAGATTCCTCGATTTGATATTTCGTCACATCATTCTCCTATTACCTGTGACATCTTCTACAAATGTTAATCGAGCTGGTTGAATTCTCCTTAGAAGATGCAAGACTGCCGTTCTTCTTCGCGGTTACACTATTGGATTTAACAGTACTGAGACTCGCGCTCGAAGCTGTACTCTGCTGCTCTATATCAGAATTTATTACTTCCGTTATGACGTCTTCCACTGTGGCGCTGTTTCGCTCTCTACTCGGCTCATTGCTCGTTTCTCTTGGCGCTCGTGCAGCCAATTGCTCAGCTGTCCATTCCTCGATAGGAACCTCCTCGTGATCCGGAGGAGGAATTTGATGAGAATTGCGCACCCATTGCGCCAAATGATTGTCTCCTCTTGAACTTTTAACGATACTGTCGATACTCTCGGCAGAGCGTGAATCTTTTTCCTCATCCTGCTTTTGCGATTCCCTGGTAGTCTGTTGAGTTAAAATTTAATCAATTCAAATTGTTCCAATCTTTGAATTTCAATAAAAAGATAATAGTATTTATAATTTAAACATATACATAGATAATATAACATTTACTATTTTTGAAGCAAAATTTTATTCAATTAATATATTGTTATAAATAAATTAATTTACGTGATCTCTTCATGTTTGATATTTAAAAAGCAATTAATAAGATAGATAATAATTTAGTGATGAATATATTATGAATATATCTGTTTAATTAAAATGACTTAGGTAAAATATGAAATTTTGTAAATATATTAAAACCAGTCTCTACAAAGTCTTTACAAAATTCTATTCAAGCTTTCTAAAGCTTTCAAATTTTATATAAAATTGTGTAATAAAATTTTAAAAAGCAATTATAATGTCATGTATTTATAATAATTAAATTATTTATTCTTTCCTATCATTATTTTTATACAATTAGGCACTGTATATATATAATGGATAAGAATTTTTCTGCATTCTTTTCAACAATTTGTTCATCAAAGTTTCATGTTATCTAATTTAACATCTCATTATAGATTAATAATCATAATAATAATTCGACTTTACATTTATTTTATATTCTTTGCAATCGAAACCTGGTTTTTAAAAACGACATTATTTTAAATCAAATATTTGAGCAAACAAACCTGCGAGCTTTCCGTAGATTCCCTAATCGCGTTTGTGATGAAATTGCTACCGGTAATCGGACTCTCTTCTGGACTGTCTTGGCTCGGCGTTCCCCCATAGCCTGTATTTACATAGATTCTAAAATATATAGAATTAATACAGACAAGCGAAAAAATACTGAAAGTTCAGATATGACGAGATTATCAGTGTCTCGTCGAGCTCTGAACTTGGTACGTGTCAAAAAATATATACATCTTGATCACGTTTTGTCATCCAAACGAATCATCCAAAAATCGTACCGGATCAGAATTCCACGAAACTTGGGCATCGATATTGGATTATCAACTCACATCTGTCGCTGAAGAAGATTGTGCCAAACAGCCTTCAATTCCGGTGTCGGTGCTCTCAATACCATAACTCGCCTTCTTGGACGACTGTGGGGACTGCAACCACCGCTGTTGCTCACCTCCACGTGACCGTTCTCCGAATTTCCGGCTGGATTAATGGCTATCTGCAATCGAAATTCTGTCGGTCTTTTTCGGACGGTGAAACAAGCCTCGGCGATATTAGACAACCGGAGAGGCTCCTCGGTTACGAATAAAACTCGGTCCCGGGAGACTCGAGCAAATACGAGTAAGTCGGTGAGAAGCAGAGCCCATGAAGGTTGCAATCGCGCTCGACCTTCCACTTTTGCGAGCGCTCCCCCAAATAGCCTGAAACATTATATATTATATGTTATATTAATATAATATTTTATATACAATTATTAATATAATTAATATATGTGATATATTATATAGATATCACACATAGTATATGTATATATATGTGTTGTCTTTTATGTATTGAAAATTCTATTTTTGCAATCAAATATGGACGTTTTTAATTTCAGAATTATATTATTTAAAAATTACTTTTTAAAATTAAAATTAGTTGAAGAATAATCTTTTTGAAAATATAAATATTTCTGGAAGTTAGATTAATTCAAGTTCAATTTTTTTTAATTCCTCAAGTTTAAATCTTTAAATTTAAATGTTCTTTAATTTTATGAAATTAATACATATATGTGTATGTGTGTTCAATTTTGAAGCCAAAATTACTAATATTAAATTAGTCTATTATTTATTGTTTAGTTGTAATATCACTCATTAAAGCCACGCTTATAGTAAGTAATTTTAGTTGAGCAAGCAAATTTATTGATGATTTAGTATCTCACTATAGTTAAATTAGTCAATAATAATATAAAAAATAATTTGCAGTTTATTATATGTTATATATTGTTATATTTATTACATAATAGTTTCAATATTTTTCATAAATATAATTTCAATTTTCAACTGTAAAATAAATCAATTTTATATTAAAAGTGATGTCTATATTTCATATCATACTTATTGATAAATAATGAAAAAGTTTGTTGTATTTCATACAAAAAATAAAGTTATACATTGACAATTATAAAATTTATTTTTCATTTTATGAAAGAAATAATTTGTTATTTATTATTATTATTATTTGTTATTTAATTTAAAAATAATCAACTTCTCATAAAGATTTATATCATTAGAACTATTTTTTACTAATAATTACACTATACTTATTTATTCTGAACTCTTATTTCAGAAATAAATTTTCAATTTATTATTTCAAATTTTTATAATTAATTAATCAAATAAAAAACATAATCTCTTAAAATATTTTCAAATAATAATTAGTGCAACTATTTTAAATTGTTATTTAAAATAAATGTCATCTAGATTTGATTGCAATTATTTTCTGCAGAATTTTTAAACGCACCATTGTCTACCCGGCATAGCCAAGGTGAATGGTTTACACCTCGCGAAAACTAATCGAGATTCAACTTCTTGCAGACTGAGAAGAGGCCTTCCTGTGTCGCGTGGTGGTTCCATTACACCGGCATTAGCCGTTGCTTCCCTGTAACCCTGAGCTAAATCTCTGGCTTGCTGGCAATTCCTTGGCGATGCCAAACTCAACAGTCTCGTCATCTCTCTAAAGAAATTTAAAGAATGTTAAATGTTATATATAAAAGGAACAATTTATATTTTTGAACTTTATAGGTATGGTGGATAATTCATTCACAGTAAATATGAAAGATAGAATATTTATAGCAATTCGATCGTTATATTTATCTTACTAGTTTTTATAATATTGAATAAAATAATTTCAATTTGTTATAAAATAATAGTTTTGTAAAACAGTGATGTTCAATGAAAACAAAAATAAAACAATTAAAGTAACTATCCAGTTTTTAAAGTAATCTAAACTTTGTATAATTTACAAAATTATACATAATAAATTTTTTTTATTTATATATTATTAATTTATTTATGTCGATAATTTTATTAATTCATCTTTTAATAATTATTTCTTATGTCAGAATTTAAGTAATAATTTTGATTACAAAATTTTGATTACGAAAAATTTAATAAATTAATGTTTATTGATTTTATTTCAAAAATATTGTAAATATTTTTTATATCATAATTATATTTTTATTTTTAAATTCATATAATATAAAAGATTGAAAATAGAAATTTCTTATATTTATATAATTTATAATTATTCTATATTGATCTTTAAATTTATATTTAAAGAGTAAAGTTTTAATATAAAATAGCATTCTTATAAAATTAATTTATCTTAAATAGATCGGTTTATTTAAAATTCTTTATCTTCTCTCAAATAAAAATCGATATAACTCCATCAACCCAGTATTAGGAACGAGAAAAAAATATTAAATTTATCGTTGATAGATAGAAATTTAGATTTAATGAAAAATAAAATAAGATCCTTACAGCAAGAGAAAAACAAATTTGTAATAATTTTACAAAAATAAAAAAAAAATTGTAAAATTATTATTAAATATTAAAAAATATTAATTTAAAAAAATATATATTTTCACATAATAATTAGTAATTATTGGTAAATTTTTCAAATTTATAGCTGCCAAAAATATCAAAAAAACCTATTTTTTTATTAAAAGTAATTAATAAAATATGTAATTTGCTAATTTATTTTTATTTTATCAATCGAAAATATTGTTTTCTGTTGAATGTAAAAGAGAGCTAGGTTCAAATTCATATTTTTATTGTTTGTATAAAATGGCGATAATTTATATTTAATTTATATTAAATTTTTTAATTATAATATTATATTTTTTATTAAAATTTTATATGAATGCAAAATATGAATTAAATTACTTATTTTTTTAATTAATTTTTTTCAATATTTGTATTTATTTATACTTCATAATGTAAAATTAATGAAAATAATTCAACAATTTTCAAAAATAAATATACTTATTATAAATGTATCTCTTGCTGCAAGAACTTTAATTACATAACTTTTAATAGAATTTGCAAAAGATTCGAATAATTATAAAAATAATTTAAGAATAAATGAAGCTCAATTTAATCTTCTTTCAAAAGAAATTTCAAAAGAATTATTTTGAAGAAAGATTAATTTTTAAGTCAAGAAAGATAAGTTTACATTCATCCGTCGCTTCACTATAAAATGTCATTCATTCAATTCATTTCAATTCATCAAAAAATAAAGTTTAGTTCTACTTTATTCAATGAATATACTTTATTCATTTCGAATGAATATATATATTTCGGAATGAAAAGCAGATGAAAACAATTTTTACAACTTTCACTGTGAATAAATCCCCTACCATGTACAATCAAAAATCTTCATACCAATTATTTTATAAAAAAAGATTTTTCAATCTTGAAAAATCAAATTTTAATGAAAATTAATATGAAGAATATAATGCATTATGCATAAAGAAATTTAATTTTTTTAAAGACAAATCTAAATGTTTGAATATATGAAATCATTTTTTTCGAAGTAATTTTCCTAATAAAAAAATTACTCCACATCTAATTCGTTACAGTCCACTCATAACATTTCATCATTGTCATCGATTATTTATTCGAATTGTTTTCGTTGAATGCAAGATGGTATCTTCAAACCCTTTTTGAATACCACTTTATTTCTACAAATCTCCTATAAATTCCATCTTCCATTCGTATCTTCGAAACAAAAAGTCTCAACATGTTTCACAAATGTTTGCCAATCACGAATTCTCATTTTTCTCCAAAGATATACAAACTGACGATCGTCATCTATTTGCATCCAACAGTACAATCGCTCAACTTCCATGAATATCCATCAACATTTCCGCAATTGACTGTACTTCCCCATTCGACAAGTACAAAAAATTCACAAATACATCTTACGAGGACGCACCTGTAGTGCTCCAGAGGCAGGAGCAAGACACCCGTCAAATCGGGCCTCCTTTTATGCGGGACAGCCGGCTCGCAGACGAGCTTTGCGAACGCCGTGTTCCGCCTGAGCGCGACCAATAGACAACAGGCGCGCTGCAACCCGCTCAAATATCTCCTGTATGCTGCGGTGATTCTCGGGACCCTGCACAAATAACTCTCGACTCCGCCTCCCTCGTCGCGAATCTCCTCCGAAATCTTGAGCAACTCGTCCAGGTTTTGGAAGAGTATCAAGTAATCAGCGGCGGAGAGGACGTCCCGCCTCTCCGCTAAGGGCGCCATGAAACGCGTGTGACCGCTCTTCAGGATGCCCCAGTAACGCGTCTCGCGCACGGACAATTCCTCTTCCGGCGGAGCATCCGGGGCGAGATTTGGGAACACCTGGACCCGTTTAATCGCAAAAAAACCGTGCCAATTCGTTCAACCGTACAATTCAAGGATAAATAGATTGTTTATTTATTGTTTAATTATTGCAGCGTCGCATGCACGAGATTTTTTTTAATTATGAATATATATTTAAACGGGGATGTTTAACGAATTTAACGATAATAGGCAAGTCTATGTATAGTCGTTTTCAATATATATATATATATATATATATATATATATATATATATATGTGGTACATGCTATGCAAATTGATATTTTTTTTCGAAATCATGGGCGATTGGTGGTAATTTTCCGTTCGTAAAAACTTTTTTTCTTCTCAGTAAATCAAATGAAATTAACTAATTCGATTACGAATGATACTATAATGAAGTAATTTTATTAAGAGAAATATATATATTGTATATTACGTAATGTAAATATTTTTTTCAATTTTTTCAAAAACAACGATATTTTTTCGCTCGTGTATAAAATAATCGATTTCATTTGAATTTATTAAACAATTTTTAAACTCGATTTATTCGAAAATTTTCTTCTTTTTCCCCCACTTACTTTTAGAGTCATATAAAGTCCTAGTCCATGATTTCGAGGATACCGATTTTATATATATAATATATATAATATTTGTCTCGATTCGAGGTGTCTGCAATTATATTAGCATCAAGAATGGGGGCAAGGGAGGGGGATGGAGAAATAAATAAATAAAATACAAGAAATGCTTTTGAACAGAACTTGTTGAGCAACAAAAAAAAAAAGACAACTGTCGAAAGTTACATAATAAAACATAACTGTATCATAACTTAACCGTGTCCACTGACAAAAAAACGGACACGCGCTGTACATTACGCGCACGCAGGAAGTACAAGATAGTCACGGAAAAGAATGTACAGGAGATGTTGTACGCGGCATCTTGGCATGCAACGAAAAATAAAAAAAAAATAAGCTCTAAGGAAACGCATGCAGCGCGTCGCGGCTCGCGTAAACTTGGTTTAAATGTTTCAACATATCCGGCCGATACGAATCTCTCAAAGTATAATTCGACATTTTCTATAATCTTGATTATTCAAACAACTTAAATTAACACGCAAAACATTCTTTGTCGATTAACGCGATTTTTCAAGTACGGTGAAACCTCCATTATTCGAACACCTATTTTATTTCTAATATTTTTATTAATTGAACACTGTTACGTTATTTATATTCGTAACACAATGTGAACAGTTTCTTTTTTTCTATCACAACAGTGGAAATAGAATTTTAATTTGAAATTGATAATGGACATATATAGTAATAACATTGAAATATATTAAGTATTGTATTATAAAATGAAATTGGAAATATTTGGTCAGGATTTGGTGTAAAATTAACAAAAGTATAATTATAAGTAGAAATAATTCAATTTCAATTAGTATCTTGATTTTCATTCATTGTTATTGTATTCATAACAAAAAATGTTTCACATAAAGTTGAATTTAAAAAGAGTAAGATTGTAATGTCACTATTTTTTCTATAGATGGGCACTTTTTTAATGGAAACACGAGAAGATGATACTTTTCAAATTAAAATATCTCTTAAATTAATCATTTTTGGACACAAATAACTCTACTTTTTTGTAAAGAATATCAAATTATGAGAAAAAGAATATACGATCCCATTTAAAAAAAATATTAATAATTTTCACATATTTTTTATGTAACATGTGTCTTTTTTGAAACCATTCAACTCTATCTTAAAAATTCTTTCTTATTGACAATAACAATGACGTAAAGCGAGATAATATCTGATGATCCATCCTCTAGATAATATTGGAAAATCTACTGACGTTAAAAAAAGCAAAAGGATGAAATTGAAAATTTACTTTTAAGGTATACATTTTTTTTTATATGTTAAAAAATTCATGCAATTTGAGAATTGAAAAAAGTACATCCCTAATTTTTAAAAACTATACTGGTTAAATAATCTAATTATTCTCCTCGAAATATAGAATAATCGATTTAACGAAAAATCCATTGTAAAAATCTCTTCTTCCAGTTTCCTTTCGAAGAAAGAAGATAAAGAGGATCCGGATAATCGAGGTTTCACCGTTCATTCGCCCGGTCGCGAAGATGGAAGAATGATGATGAGAAAAGGGGAGGGAGAGAGAGAGAGAGAGAAAAAAAAACAAATAATCAAGCTAATAATCAACCAAAAGCTTTCCTCGTAATCCTTCCTCCCCGTTCCCGCTTTCGAACGAAGCGAACCTCTTATTTTCTGAAAAACTGAGTTCGCTAGGCTCAGACTAGGACGCCTGTACCGACCTCGGCGTTAAACGCAACCGCATGGTGTCCGCCGCCGATCGATTGCTGCAGGCTAACGTTCATCGAGTTAGGCCGATGCATGGACGAGTGAATATTCCCCTTCCGATAGACCTCCAAGATCAACTGATTCGTGGCAGCCTGGATCAATCCAAGAATCTCTTCCCGCGATCGTGTCACCACGTTTGTCATGTCGACGAAAACCACGTGATCACCTGGCCTCAGACCGGATCGCTCCGCGGGGCTGCCAGGGTCCACGCGTTCCACACGGGGTGGTCTTCCCCAGGAGAGCGAAAATCCCCATGGAATCTATGGGAGGAAAGATTTAATTAGGTTGGAAATTTGAATGAACGGGAAGAAATAATAACGGGAGTGGAGAGACTGTACAGAAGGCGTGGAGGAGGGAGGTTACAATGGAGGGGTGCTTAGGCGGAGCACGGCACGAGACTCGTTTTCGTTAATGCCGTGGATAAAGAGGGCTTTCGAAAAAGAAAAAAAAGTCTGTTTCGAGTTTTGGACTTGTTGCGTTAATACCAATTATGAGTGGACCGCCTGTGATTCTGTCGGGGAAATTGCGCGAAATGATTGTGTAATTTTTTGAGATGTTTGTGAGTGTCGAAATCGAACAGGTTTATGTTGGAATCTTATTTATGATAAGATTTTTTTTATAAAACATGTGGAAAACTATTTTATAAGTAGCTAGTGATTGTTGAGGTTTTGGTATATTGTGATGTATAAGTAAGTACAATTATAGTTAGAATTATACAATTCTGATAAGATAAATAGATCAAGTGTATTTAATTATAGTGAATTCATAAAGCATTTTCAAAAAAAAAAAATCAGAAGATTTGTGAAAGAAGGTTTATATATATATCTTTATTCTCTCTTTGGATTAGATTAATATTATAGTTCAAGATTATCAGATAATCTTCATGAAAGAAAGAAAAACTATAACTTACCTGATTAGCAGTTTGTCTTATCAATCTCCTAGTGACAGTGCATGGTGTTCTACCACCTTTGGCTGTGAAACCCGGGTGCAGAGGTAAACCAGTTAAAGGATCGATAGGCTCTAATTCAAGATGCCTCAAATATGTCAAATCTTCACCTCCTGAATTATTATTATCTGATTCTCCGTCCTTCGACAACGGTGGCGAAATTCCACAGTCTTGGGGCAAACCGACATAAGGAGTACTCGTGTTTCGACCGGTTCCCGCTTCTAACGGATGCCATGTCGCTTCCTAAAAGCACAATCTTTTATTGAAACATAGAATCTTAATATTTTTCTTAAAATTAATTTTTTAAAATTAATTTCTTAAAATTAAATTATACCGTGAACATTGATATGCCATTGATTGTCGTCGATAATTCTCTCGAATATTTATTATAATTTTCCTTTAACGTGTAAGATTGTATTTTAATTTTCATCTAATCGATTATTATTCTACTTTATCAATATTCGACGTGATAATTAAACAAAAAAAAAATATATATATAGAAATTAATTTATATCGTTTACTGTATATATATTTTACACTTTATACGACAGAAATTTCAACAGAACATGAATATTTTCAATAGAATCCCAACGATGAAGAACACTGCACAGTAAATGGCCACCACGATCATCTTTTGCTTCACACAAGGTGGGGAACGATTTAATCGAACGATTTTGATCAAATTACCGAAATGTTGCAACGATACCTGCCACCTGCCACCTTTAACGAGGTCAAAGCGTAAGTGAATCTTTGCTAGGTAACGTTCCAATTATTTGATTCGTAACAAGCTTAGCCCTGACCTTAAGGCAAGAAGACTTACGAATCCTTGTAAACAGCTGACGTGCAGACATGTATCAAACAATTTCGTACTTAGTGTTCATGATCGAACGATATTTTTATTTTTTATTTTTTTTTTTAATTTAACCAAGTTTATTCAATTTCGATATAATGAAATTTCTTTTACGTGAACGAAATATTAATAGTATTTATTACTTGATATAACTTTATTTAGATCATAATTTAAATCATAAAATGTTTTATACCAACATGATTTTTGTTTTATCGAATCATTGTTCAATTTAATGTATACCTTTATATCAATAATTTATACAATAACAAATCTTGATGCAAAAAGTTTATCAATTTGGAAATATTTTATGTAAATTATGAAATTAAAAAAATTTTTCAAAAAAATTTGATAATTGATAGATTAACTGAATTATATTGAGCTCTTATTATTTGAAAAACATATAACATATGATATTATAATATAATATAATTAAAAATATATTTGCAAATACAATTATGGATATAAAAATTATTTATAGATAGATATTTTTATTTTTCAATGAAACATTTTTTTTATCATGTTCTACATTTCATTCTAATAATATTAAATTTTTATAATCGTATAAAAATATTATTAAATAATATGAAATATAATAGACTACTAAAAGTAATTAATTTAATAATTTATAAATGTTATAAATACAATGGTGTGCAAATAATTTTTTGTAGCCATTTTAAATAAAAAATTAATTTAAATATTATTATAATTTCAAAATCTTATTCAGAAATATTTGATTCATTATTATATATCTAAGAGCAAATTTCATATAATTTTTTATATCTTGATTTTCTTAAAAACGAAATCTTTTTTTCTTAAAAAAAAATATTTTTTTTTTTTTAAGTCACTTTTGCAATGTAGATAATTCCCATCTATTTATATTATCCATTTCTGAAACATCCTATATGAATTTGTTTGTCTTCCGACAAGTAAATGGACTTCTATTAGACTATACAATGTAGAATATGTTACTATTAGAAACTAAAATAAAAATAAAAATTGACGTATAAAAATATCGGTTGAAGCTTATTTATTAAATTATAAGCAATTTAAGCTTGTATTAGATAAAAAAAGATGGATATCACGAGACATCTCTATCTCCGTCACTACCGCCTTTATTTCCGCTTCACTTTATTTCCGTCTCACTTTATCTATTAATAAAAATTTAATTCAAATCGCATATAACTTAATAAAACCGATATTTTTCAACTTTTGCATTTATTTTAATCTCTAGAATTTATTTTCGAAAACATAGAAATTCTACGAACGCAATATCAACGCCCTGTATACTATCAAAAGCAATATAAAATACAAATATTTACCTTATCTTGAGACAAGGGTAGAGGTAGAGTCATACAGCCCAACAGCTCGCTACGTCTAAAACACGAAAACGAGAAAAATATGAATATTTATGTTACTTTGCGTCAAATAAAGTCCACCAATATTAATGGTCACTTACACCAGACAGGTGTGTAGCTATTAATAGACACATACACTCGCATTTAACTTTTTAACTATTTACATTGGAGAGGAGGGAAAAGGAGAAGGCGGACAGTTTCGGTCTATCATTTCCCGTATACCGTTGCAGAGACGCGCGGATGTGATCGAGTGCACGTGGCGGACACGATGCGCATGCGCTTCCAGGGAATCGATTCCCCTCCTACCGCAAAGAATCCGCGCATACCCTAGAAATTCGTTTGGGTATTTAGATGGACCATTGGTTCGGTAGGTAAAATTATCCCAATTCAAGCCGCTCTTATCGACCGATAAATTATCGTATATATTTTCATTCGAACACGGCCATTGCGTTAGTTAATTCTTATTTTGAATTATTCTCAAATTTGGAAATTATGTTTTTATTTTTTCTCTATCTCTCTTTAAACGCAAAGATAAAAAAAAATGCTCTTAAATAACATTTACGAAAGATACACGAGGCAGATTGATAGAGAATATCGGGAGCAAGGTTGGTTAGCTCGTTCGTCTTGGATTAACGAGTCATAGTTCTTGACCCCAATATCTTTTCCTCAGAGATAGAGGCTGTTTCTATACACCGTTTCATTGTGGGATAGCACAATCGTCTGCTCGTTTCTCCATACAAACGATCTTTTTCCTCGTGTTGATTCGTTTGTGCCTATTTTTTATACACCCACAATATGCAGAATATACCCGATCAATGCCTTTCACCACGACATCGAAAGATATTTTTTTGTTACATTTTTTTTCCTGTCGTTAATTTATTATGACGCTGATAAACGCAAATGTCTGATGAAGGATCTTATCTAAAAATTTCACCAAAAGTAATTTCTCTCTCTCTCTCTCTCTCTCTCTCTCTCTCTCTCTCTCTCTCTCTCTCTCTCGATAATTTACGTAGCGTAAATATTCCGTAACGTATACTTGTGTAATTCACGGAAACGTGGGTTGCGTGAGATTAATATCTCGCGCTGTATACGAAGCGGCACTACTTACCGGGTTAACCGATTATCATTTGTTATCGAGGCTCGAAAAGCACGATGTAGGATTCCGAGGCAATGTGAAATATAACCGATTCGAAGAGATTAGGAAGATTTAAAGAGGACGGCTCGCATGTCGGTCGTTGTGGCCGTAAATCAAGTCGACGATCAACAAAGAATCGTTTTCCGGGGTCGAGCACGTTTCCGTCTTACGACCGAGGCTCGTGTCCCCCAACCCCTCTTCCTACCAGTGTGCACTTTATTTTTCGAGCATGCTCACCTTGCACGACGATCTCTGTGCCAGACCGCGATGTCCAGGGACGTGGGCTTGCTGCTGCAGTGATTGTTGTTCACTGGGCAGGGCAGTATCAAGGTCTCGTGGAATACGGGATTCGGCGTTGCCCTGTGCACCGCTGTCCTCTTCACCACTCCCTCACCGTTCGTGTTCTTCAAACTGGCTTTCACGTAAGCGTGAACAGGACCCTCGTATGCCCTTCTCAGGTCCTTGCACCTTATCACTGCGTGAAACAATAAAGAACAGCCTTATCAGGACACGAGCATCGTTCACGATTCTTTCTTCTCGATGATCACGATGGTTAATCACAATCAAATCGTATTTTTAATAATTCTTCGATAAAATAGAGAACAGTTGGAATGAACAGAATTAGGAATGAAACCAATAATATATTTCCTTCTTCACACGCACTACGCGCACCGAGAAGTGTCCGACCAATGCGGCACTCCTCTACTTGCTGCAACCACGATTCCAATTTTTTTCCTTTCTTTCTTTTCTGAATTCTTTCTCAATTGAATCAATTTTTCTTTTCTTTCTTTCTTTCTTTCCTTTCTTTTTTTTTTCTTTTTCGCGAAAACCAACAATACTCTGAGGTTGGAGAGAATTGATCAACAGGGTCGTTTAATATCCGCCCACTACTCGGAATAAAGTCGAAAGTGGCAAGAAAAAGGGGGAGCCTGGAAGGCTTTCCGGGGGTTGTTTACGCAAAAGATGTGTACCCGCGAAGAATCAATGTTGGTAGGCTTACTAACCGGGAGCGAATTGCCAGCAGGGTCTGTGGGTTACTGGCACAGTCGTCTATCGCGGGGTGCCAACTGAAACACCCCCTCTCGTGGCACGTGACTGGCGCATGCCTCCTCGCGTTTCAGGGACGTGCTCCCGGCCCCGAGACCCTCGCGATTCTACTCGTAATGGAATTAATATACCCAATGCCTCGGTCGTTAATCCTTGAAAGGTGTAATCACGCGATATCGTGCGATACTCGATCGTTGGATTTTTATCGCGCAAGAAAGCACATACACCGTTATAAAAGTCGTGTATATGTAGCTACTGTACTTTTTGTTCCGCTCTCATTAAGATGGAACATTAACATTTAATTTGTAACTTTTTAAATTAATAACGATGCAATTGTGTTATTAATTCATTGAGCATTTTAAAGTTAAAATTTAATTTGTATTGTAGTGAATAGATATGATAAGATTCAATACGGAAAAGTATGATTAATTTTAATTTTAAAAATCTGTTTTGTAAAATATTACAGTGAAAAGCATTTTGGAAATTTTGGAAGGAGAAAAAAGTAAATTTAAAGTTATCATCGTGATTATTTCTTTCATATTAAGATCGTTTTCCGTGTTGTAAATTTTTCTTCTTATGAAGAGAATTAAAATAGTTTCAGTTACGTAATAATAAAATTACTTATTACTGACCGAATCTGAAAACTTTTTTCATTCGTATTTGCAAATATAATTTTCTGCTCCAACTCCTTGATTTCTTTTATCCATCGTTCGTAACTTAATGATCAATAGAAATAAGTTGACTATATCAAAATATTGCATAAAAACTGACCCGATTTTGAGACGCGTGGCTTCTGACATTGGAACGAATTTGGTGACCCGATTAGAGAAAGAGAATTATTTTAAAGATACATCATCTCTTATCATTAAATACTTTTAACAGAAATCAGATACGTGGATGTAAGCAAATCTTTTTCTAAAATAAACTAAATGACGTTAAAGAGATTAATTTATACAAAAATAAACGATAAAAATAATAAACAGACAGAGAAATAATTTTCAAAATTGATTTTCTTGAAAAAGAATATAAGTAACAAAATTCCAAAAATTTCCAAGCCATAAACAAATTCTTCAAAAATAAAAAAATCTCGTTATAAAGTCATCTCCAGTTACTCTAAAACTACTTTTTCTTTCGTCTTATTCCACTTAAAATAAATTATCCACCACGTCGCAAGCTCACCTCGAACGTGTATTTGATCGCCCACGACCGAATACTCGATCTCTATTGATCCATGGCAATTCGGTTTCGGTGGTTCGGTTTCCGGGCTGAACTTGAGACACCTTCTCACGGTGGCTACCAAAGGGGTCTCGGGTGTGTTCGACACCGAGTTCAAATACGATTTCGAGCTGTGAAAGTCGTCGGTAAGGGTGGACTTGGGGCTGTCCAGATCCCAGGTATTCGTCTTCCTCCCGACCCCCTCCTCCTTCCGTCCCTCGAGGCCGCAAAACAATGCTTTTGGCTCGAACGAACACTTCTCGTCCAAAGTGGTGTCCAAGTCGGTTTCCAGAGCAAGTTTCTTCACGTTTCGATTCACAGCCTCTGCCAAAGTGGGTTGCGCCGCCTCTGTTTTCGTTTTACCAGTGGACGGGCTGGTGGAACGTCTCTTCGCTCGTTTCCCATCGAACAATTTGTCGGTGTCCTTTCGATGCCGCTTCCTTCGTATCCCACGTTGCCTCTTCAACGTAAATTCTCCATCGAGATCGTTGGTGGGCGAGGTGAACGCCCAGGACATAGGTGAAGGGTCCTCCAAGAGTTGGCTGGCCGAGGAGACGGAGCTGTCGTTGTGACACGATCCCTCCTCGTCCATCGTCTCTTCCCGTTCCACGATCGTCTCGTAGGTGTGATCCGTTTTCATCGTCGAATTCTCCTCCTGGTTACTACCCAGAACCTTCTTCCTCTCTTCCACGTCTCCCAAAAGGATCTCTGCCACCGTTTTCCCAGTGAAATTTACCTCTTGCTCCCTAAATAAAGAAGTAGAACGATATAAGAGAATAGTCTGACAATTACGATTTAATAACTGACTTATCTTAAATTGTTAAATGAAATAAAACACGATGAATAAATAAAATTATTATAATATCTTAACAACATAAATTGAATTTGAATTAATAAAAGATAATCTAATATGAAATTTTCTTTTTGAAAGCCTTGTTTCGAAACTAAAATTAGATTTTAACTAACCTACTTTTCTTCGTATATATAATACAAAATACGTATTCCGATCTTTATACATGAAATAAATAAAAAGATATTTAAAGATTTTCCCTGTTTTACCTGTTGAGAACTTCCGTAACCGTGTTATCCATGTTCTCGAATTTAGGTAAATCTTGGTCGATGGCCAAATTCGACAGTTTACCGAGCAAAGGCGTGTGACCTTTGCCCTTGCTCGCGGCCGAGGAAGCCTTTCCGTGATACGGCGTCCTGCATTTGGAATGAATCCTCGTGATCTTGGCAAGTTTCGGCAGATAATACGGCATTTTCGTGCCCTCGCTCGCCTTCGCCCCCCTCACCCCCTCTTCGTTCACCCCCCTCGGAGGGTAAAGGGGTCTGGCGACGGAGAACGGGACCGACTCGGCCTCCATCACGTCTTCCGGGCTCGTGGCCATCGATATTTGTTGAAAAAAATCGGAAACGTGCGACTGAAGGTTCGCCCTTGCCTCGTTCACGATATTTTGGGGAAGCTCGTTGTCACTCTGGAAATTCTTCGCCCTGGCCTTTCTCATGAACAGGGCCGGATCCGTGGGAAGCGTAAGAGCTGTGGGACACTTGCCGCCCTGAGGGAGGAACGTTAACGGGCCGATATCGGTGTCGACCCTTGGCGTCCCCTGATAGAAGCTCTCCGAGACCGATGACTTCTCCTGTTGTTGCGACATCGACTGACGTTTGCCCGCCCGCAAATTAGGCTTCGTTGCCTGGAACCAAATTCAGATAAATATCCCCCCTGCCTCTTTCTGTATCGTTCGTTTCCTCTTTTTCCAGAAGAAGTTTAATCGATAGGGGCAGGGTTTAATCAAACACGGAACAAAGTTTGTCGATTTTTACAGTAAGAGTATGAAAGGTCGTAGTTTGTTTGTTTGTTATTTGAAAAATTATTCTGAATGAGCTTTCTTGAACGAGTTTATAAACAGATTTCCTGAGAAAAAGCTAACTCAATGTGTGAATGAGAAAAATGTGCAGTGATATGAAAGTTAAGAATCTAGTAAAATAGATATGATATTATATTCACGTATATTTTGTGGCGTAGAATTTTAATAAAATTCATATTTCGTAAATGTAAATTAAATAGATATTTTCTATTATATTATATTAAATTATAAAAATTCACATGTAGATAATAAATTAATATTTATGTATATGTTAACACGTATTAATATATTAATTCATTATGTCCATTTACAAAGAAATTATCATCATCGATGCAAAATCGTTTTATTCTTTCTACTAAAAAATAAAATACTAGATTCTTCGAAATGGCCAATTTCATAAATCCAATCGTAAAACCATTAAAAATATTTGTTTCAATTTAAAATTTAAGAAAAGAAATTATTATCATCGATGCAAAATCGTTTTATTCTTTCTATTAAAAAATAAAATACTAGATTCTTTGAAATGGCCAATTTCATAAATCCAATCATAAAACCATTAAAAATATTTGTTTCGTCAATTTAAAACGCTGAAACTGAACGAATATAACTTTAATGAATATTATTTTACCAATTGTTTCAATATAAAAAAAAAATGTGTATTGTGCGATGAATCATATTCTTCAATATCGAATATATTCTTAGACTTTAAATCCTGGATTTAAGAACTTGCAAAAAAAAAAAAGGGAACAATCTTTTATCTCTTATTTATATTTTACTCTTGGATCATCGATCAATCGAACGTTGATCAACATTATTTTCAATAAATCTACGTACAAAAATTCAAATTATCACCAATTCAAACTTTCTCCAGACAATTAAGACTTCAGAGGGTGAAAAATTTCTCGCGAATTTTAAATCCTTCCTATTGCTTTATCTCGCTGATCACCTTGGCGCGTGTCATCTATTATGATTATTAGAGAAAGATAGAGCAGAAAAATAAAGTGACAAAAAAATCGAAAATACCTGAAAATACGCCCTCATATCGCTGCCATGACTTCTACACCTCCTTCGACGAACCGGCGTCGTTCTTGCCGATATATTTTCGACATTTTGTCCAGATATACCCCTGGTCTTCGTCCCAGCGGCAGGAGGTGTGTTGGATAGGTCTCTGAAAGGTCTACGGGGCGCCTTGTTCAAATTAGGTGGACCGTGAGGCGTCGAGCTGCTCGCTGACAATGATCTCGAAACCGTCCACTTCAGCATCTCTGAAAGCAAGAAGCAAATCCCTAACTAAGCGGAATACGTGTACATTCTTCCTCGTTAAAAAGCTTGGAAGAAGCTTTATCGATTTAACCGCGATTCGAGAGCAGACTATCGCCGAGGAAATTTATTTTCTTAAGTCGCTTCGAAAAAATGTTCTTCGATATTTCTCTTCGTGATTCCAAATTGTTGAAAGTTAGATGAATTTGGATAATTTGTTTGTTTTTTTTTTTTACGAGATAAAAATTATTACATAGAAATTATTATAAAGAATAGATTATTCAAATCTCAATAATATTTCGTTATTTTTTCGTGATTTAAAAAAATTATGGAAATTAGATAAAGATAATTTGTTTGTCGTTTTCTTTTTGTGTTCATATTTTAGATCATCGTTTAATTAAAATATTTATTTTTACAAGTCAAAAAATAAGCTATCATTGTTAACAATATCAAAATTGAAATAAAAAAAAATCTAATTCTATTTCGACTTCTATTTATTATTCCAATTTCTTAAATTTTTTATTATCCAATAATAAATAATAAATAGCTGTCGTTTAATCATTCGTTAAGTCAAAGTGTTAACTCGCGTAACAATTTCAGGTGTATGAGTTTCACCTGTTTTGCTGTTTCCCGTATGCCGTGACAGGTGTGTTCATTCTGTTGTTCCTTTGGTTTTTCTTCTCTTTTTCTTTTTTTCTTTTTCTTTTCTTTTCTTTTTTTTTTTTTTTGTCACTGCTCTACATCCATCCTGTAATTAAAACATTTATTTTCGGATGTCCGTGTATATCGATAGAAGGCGCCCTTCTTCAATCGAGTCCCTTTAACATAAGATTGCACGATAACATTCCCTCTTCATCACGAGCGGACGTTACGTAATTTTTGTTTCGAGTTCGTTGAAAATCTGTACGCTAGAACTTCTATTATCCGGATTAATCTTCTTGGATGAATTATTCCCATGTTTTGGAAAATTATTGTGCTTATTTACGAGGAAATTTGGATAATGGTATAAAAAATGTAAATTAGAAATGTTTCTTAGTTGCCAAATTGCATATAAATAATTTTCTATCTCTCGTTCTTTTGTTTTTCAATTTGCCAATGATTTTTCAATACTATACGCTTTTATCAAATTCTGTAACATTTTTATCTTACTTCTTATTAATTTTTAAAATGTTTTATTTCAATTTAAAAATCGTGTCTAATTGTCAATTTGAAGTTAAATTTTATTTCACAAATATGATTTGCATCAATATTCTCATTATTCTCATTTACTTTTATAAATTTAAAGTTTAAAAATTAAAGTTGAAATATTTTCTTAACTAATTTTTTACTACAAGTAATTCTTGGTTTTTTTAAAACTGTAAATGTTCTGTCTTCATCTATAACATTAATTATATTTGATTACTTTTCTATTATTCTTATTTTTTGTTACTACTTATAGATATATTTTCCAATTATAATCTTTGTATATTGTATAATTATATATATAAAAAATTTATAAACAAACAAAACAAAGTTTTAAAAAATATAGACACATAATCACGACTTTAATAAAATCACCATAAAACATCATAATCTTCTATAATACTAATTACATTTGATTACTTTTCTATTACTATTCCTACTTTTTGTTACTACTTACAAATATACTTTCCAATTACAATCTTCATATATTATACATATAATAAATTTATAAACAAAAAAAAAATAAAGTTTTAAAAATATAGACACATAAAACATTATAAAAACATTATATAAACATTATATAAACATTATCTTTAAAACATTATAGAAAATTAAAAATGGATTTGTAGCATTGTAGAGAGTTTAATTTGAAACTTATAGAAACTAATAATAATAATAATAAATGAATGATAATAATATAATGCAAAATGCAAAATGCAAACAAAGTTTTAAACATCCAAATTACATAACGTCATTCGACCACTTTTATTAACCAAAGATACAAAGATACAAAGATACAAAAATACAAAAATACAAAAACGCGCGCAACAAATTGTCAGCGGTAGCAATACCGTATTGCACGTTTTCACTTTTAACGGTTCCCCCAGTAGCCAGGTACGTAGGGTGTAGCCGCGTGTATTGTGAATTAGGCAGATATAAAAATGCGTTAATTTGCATACAGGCTGTTGCACGCGTCCTTCTATCGTAACACGCACTTTTTTTTTTTTTTTTTTCTTTCCATGCACGTTCACGTTTTATTTTCTCGAGTCGAGGCTCTACCTGCGCCATCACGTACCATCGTGCACGTTTCATCGTGCACGAGTACTCGCATATGCGACGTTTACACGCATGCCCTTCGAACGTGTAGCTCGTGAAACAGCATGGGCACCTGCGCATATGGTGACGGTCGCGTAACTTGCCTTCCATCTGGTCCCTGCAAGCACGAGACCACGCTCGTGGTGTCGAAACGCCGAGAGAGACGATCGCTATCTTCGCTTATTTCACCCGTCTTACTTCATATATGTATATATATATATAACGTATATTCCACGCCTTTCGCGACCCTCCCATCGAACACCCACTTCGAGGGCACTGTACCACCCTGCAAACCGTGAGAAAACGAAACGAAACGAAACGAACGTGTGAAATGAATACGATTCATTAAGCCTAATCTAAGTGTTCGAGCGAGGTTTCATCAATAATTGGTACTCTTTAGAAAAACGATCGGTTTAAATAGGTAATAAGTTGAATTAAAGTTGGATAACGATTTGGATTTTGAAGATTGTAGAGTGAAAAGAAATAGAGTAAATAATATAGAGTGATGATATGATATGATTTGTAATTGGGTTTTTTTTATAGAGGGTAATAAATATTTAAGTTATTGAAATTTTTCGAGTTTCAAAGTGTAAATTTTTATTTGCAGCAACTTGATGCTTAATTATTCGTGTGATAAGAATATTAAATTAATTTGTAATATCGTAATTACGTTTTATCTTTGAAATATAAATAAATTTTTAATTAAGAAAAAATTAATTACAAATTAATTACATATACCATGCGATCATCCAAAAAAAGATCATCAAATTGTTTTTACTATTAGAAAATACGATTTTGAATTTTTCTTTGATGTGAATATGATGTGAATATGATGTGAAAAAGATTATGAAATTCTTTTTACTATTAGAAAAATTAAAATACAATTTTAATTAATTTATAATATTGTTTTACGTTTTATCTTTGAAATATAAATAAATATTTTTATATAAAAATAATTTTAATATTTAAGAATAATTTTTAATATTTTATATAAGAATATTTTTAATATAAGATTAATACCATGTGAAAAAAGACCATGAAATTCTTTTTACTATTAGAAAATAATGATACAATTTTGAGTTTTTTTTCTTTTTCACCCTTGTGAAACTTGAATCACGAAGTGGTTTCAAGGATTTAACCGGCGAAATACGTTTTTGAAGATTGCACGCGGTTTGTTAGTGGCGAGTTTAAGGGAATAAAACCAGTCGGACGACACGCGTTGAAACGCGTCTTTAAAAAGCGCTTCGAGGCAACGAGCACGCTAGCTAGAACGAGTAACGGAAAATGGTGTGCATTCTCTTTGCATAATGTCCTGCGATTTGTGCTAGCAATGAATCTTGAAGGTAATAGCAAAGCGATCGTGTTAACCGCACCTGCGGTAAACCTGAGTGAGCGCCGTTTTGCTTGTTACGTTCCAACCGAATTCCTTGAAAGGGAGTAGATGTATTTTTAATGATTTTCGAGATATCAGGCGTGATATTTCGTTATATTTTGAATTATTTTGTGCAATGAGAATTATTTTTCTACGAGAAAGTATTAGTGAGTATCAGAAACTTTTTGAATTAAAAGTTAAGGTGGGGTTTTCTTAATTCAGAACAAATCATTATTGACAATTTTTCAGTTATTTTATTTAATATATGTTAAATGAAATGCAACATGTGAATAGATTTTTTAAAAAAAAACAAGAGATTTACTTCAAATTCTTTACCTCGATGAGAATACAGAATCTAAGAAAAAAGAATATTTTTGATTAACGAAATAATAAATCGGGAAATTGCTTATTTTTAATAAAAAGTAATTTTTTATATTCTAACGAAAAAGTAATTTTAACAAAAAAGTAATTTTTTAGACTCTAATTTGAAAAATTGGAAAAAATACTTCAATTGATCAAATTATCTTGATAACTTATCTCAATGAAAATACAAATCTAAGAAAAAATAATATTTTTGATTAAATTTTATTGCTTATTTTTAACAAAAAAGTAATTTCTTATATTCTAACTTGAAAAATTGAAAAAATACCTCAATTGATAAATTAACTAAATGAAAATATAAATCTAAGAAAAAACAATAAATTTTTGATTAATAAATACGAAATAATAAATCGATAAATTTTTTATTGCTTATTTTTAACAAAAAAATAATTTCTTAAACTCTAACTTGAAAAATTGAAAAAAATAAAGATTTAAGAAAATCAATCAAATAACTAATCGTTAATTTCACAAACAATTCTCTCTATAACTTTTAATTTCCCTTTTAATATAATGAACAAATAATTCAACACGATCTTTCATCAAATCTCCTCTTCCTCTTGAAGCACGCCACTTCTTCAATTACCTTACTACTCGCTCGTGCATTGCATGATACGATAATACAATTGATCGAGGGAGGGGAGGGGAAAAAATAACCCGATCAATCGCTTTAATAAGCGCAGCTGTATAACCCCGTCGACGATAATTACCAGTTAACGATAAATCTTAAATGTGTGCGGGGCAACGCGCCTAGAAAAAGGGGGACCTAAGGGTCCACCTGTGTCCCTTATCGTATCCATCTAACGATCACCGATACACGTAGCCAAACGGCCACTCTAGTAGGAAAGAGACGTCGCGTTATTCGTACGCTGTGGCGCATACTGTGAACCGCAGGAAACAAGTGCACGAAAAAGGGGGTCTCCCCGTGAGAGGGAGACGTTAAATTGTCCCGTTTGATTTGCTACGAGCATTTAAA